ACCTATAAACTATCTCTACTTCATGAGAAAATTGAGATGAAAGAGGCCTATTTTTCCAAGAAATTAACAGATGATTGAATTAGTCTGCAACCCAATAACCTCATAATCAGTGCTTGTGTTATTAAACATTACAATCTGGACACATGACAAATGTAAGGGAGGATGTTTTTATTTTGTTGAATAATTCTCATTATTTTACATAAAAATTTCTGGATGACTCTTGGTTTGAATTTTCAATGATTCTTATATTCAAAAGTAAAATGTAAAAGGTGATCAAAGTCTTGGGTTGGCCAAAGTTCTGTCTTGATATCTTAGTGGGCAATGCAAAATGTATGATTGATTGGTCACATTTTACCTGTTAGGTTCATTGTTGAACAACGGTAAGCGAAGTATTTTAATAAATAATTGGGGACTGAAGAGATGGCTCTGTGGTTAAGAGTACCAGCTGCTCTTGTAGAGGATCCAAGTCTAGTTCCTGGCACCCACATGGCTGCTAACAGTCAACCAAACCATAGCTCCAGATCCAGGGTATCCAATGTCCTTTTCTGGCCTTTGTGACACTTCATGCACTTATATACATGAAGGCAAAACATTCATACACATAATATAAAAATAAATATATCAAAAAAAATTTTTTTTTGTCTTTTTGAGACAGGGTCTCTCTGTAGCCCCAGCTGTCCTGGAACTCACTATGTAGACCAGGCTGGCCTTGAACTAACAGAAATCTGCCTACCTCTGCCTTCCAAGTGCTGAGATTAGGTCTCCTGTACTGTCACTGTATCTGTATTGTTTTGATGAAATCTGTGGGTAAGTCTGCTAGTATAAAATTAAACTCCCTCTTCTCACCTGAAAAAAAAAGTTCATACTATGTTGTCAGCCACTAACAAGAAGCAAGGGTTAATGTACACAGTGTACATCAGTTGTAGGTTATAGGTCATCAAAATGCAAAGCCTAACTGGTTTCTGCCATGGCCTGATTACATCAAGAGTATGCTTAAGAGTTTGCTTTTAACCTAGAGGTTTTCAAATAAGCAGACTACGCTGGAGTTTACAAGCAGTAAGTGAGAAATCTGGAAATAATGTCTGGGGCAGGTGATTATTTGGCCTTTGTGACACTTCATGCACTTACATACATGAAGGCAAAACACTCATACACATAAATAAAAATAAATACATCAAAAAATTTAAAGAAATAAATTCATTAATAGAAATGGATTTCTATTAATATGGAGAAAAATTAGTCCTAAATGTATGTGATAGCTATTTTTAATTAACCTCATGGAACTAGGGTCTGCTGGCCACCACATGTAGAGGCCTACAGCATTACCACCATCTGGGACTTTATAGGAAAGTAAAAACTCAAGTGTGGCTTTATACTTACTGAATTAGAACCTTCATGTTAACATTTTTTTTGAAGGATTTGCATAACAGATGAAGGAATAGCTCAGAGCTGCAAAAGTTGACTGAGGATAAAACTCCTCTGTAATTCTTTCTAACAAGAAAGGGATTTCTATTAAACAGAAACCCTTGTTCTCTGTTCAATGGAAACTCTCCGGTAAAAGGTAGAACCTTATCTTTCAGAATGCTTATGGAGAATTATTAGAAGGTTATATTAGTTCTGAGAATTTGTTTATGGTATTCTACACATGCATGTGGGGAGACTTATCTGAGTTAAAACACAGGGATTTGAAATACATCTATCCTAACAGGTTGAATCTTCACTGCTGTTTAAGTAGATCAACTTTTGGCAAAACACTTAACTCACACCTTTGCTTCCTCATCTGCCTGAGTTAGTGCTGTAGAGATCTTAAATAATATGAGAAGCATTTTGGTACCCTGAATTTTCAAAATATTGCAGTTATTACTATTATCTAGGATTAAAACTTCAGAAATTATATAAATTTTACTTAATTCTTCGCAGGTATTATTTTTCAAACTACATCAAATCATAACTGTTTTTTACCACTAAGATTATAAGTATTATCTGAGAATAAAACTACAGAGCTACTTTTAAATAAATCTGATATGCATCATTATTTAAATTAATGACAACAGATTAATGAGGATGAAGTTATTGGCATGTAGATTTAAGAACTGGTGAATTAGTACCTGTAAACATCTGCTCCCTTGGCAAAATAGACATGCTCAGTAAGAGATACTGACTTGTTGTATATGGAATGATTCATGCCTTTTAAGTATTTAACAAATGTATTCATTCTTAGGCAAATTTTTTCATTATTAGAACAATTGGAATTATCCTTTAACCAGTGGACTTTATCCCCCGCCCCCTTTTAAATAAGAAGACTATCATGCTTTATGCCAGCTTGAAAGATTTATCACCTCAGTGTCAATTATTCATGATCAGAAAGTAAAATTAGTTTCAAAACTTTGAATCATTTTGGCAAAAACCAGTATAAAGACTTTTTAAAATTAAGATAGTTCATCGTATGTTAAAATGTGGTTAACATTCACCAAGACACAGGGTAAAAGGTTACAGCTGTGTCTTTCTAAGCTCTTTTACCTAAGGAAAAAAACGACCTGATTACAATAAAGCAGTAGACCTCTTCTAGTCCTTGTGTGAAAGAAAAAAGAAGTTGGCTTCTTTAGATTAGGGTGAAAATCCTTGGAGAAAAACGGACTTTTCAGCTTTCAAATTCTTCCTCCTCAGTCTCTAGGTCTTTGAGAGTAGCAATGGCGGTTCTTCCTTCCTTCCTGGGGCTCCTCTGTCATTTATTTCCTACTGATTACTATCTATAAGCTGCCTCTTGCCCCATAAGTCTCCCAGAATTTTGATAATCCTTATTTTTAAGTCTCTCTCAACATGAAATGTTCCACAGTTTTTGGTTCTCAACATTTGACTTTAGGCCTATGGAAGTCTTTAACCTGAGCTTTGCTTTTATTAACCTTCCTCAGGAGGAAATCCAGCTAAATCTGGTTCGCAGATTTGTGAAGCTGTTTGCTGCTGAGAAGGAAGTCTGTTGTGGTTGTTTTACTAGGGCACTTAGGGACTAGACTAGCTCCCAGCCATGAAGATAGCACACTTATCAGCAGTCCTTTTGCATACAAAGCCCAATGAAGCTGAGACTTTCAAACAGTTCCCTAAGTGGCCAGACTTTATAACAGGCAGTGACAAATGCCCTGGGGACAAATTGGTTTGTTTTGAAAACAATTACCCCTATAAAGAGAGCTTCCTATTGATCCAAACATTTCTTTATGAGGACCCTGGTACCTTATGGGAGCTCTTTGTTTCAGGAAAAAAATTAAAAGTCATCTTTAAAACTGCACATCTACATCTTCATATTGAAGAAGCACATATAAGAAATTAATCTGTTTAAATTAATATTTCTTCTGAACTTTCTTGGGCTGGGTATCTCAGCGGTTAGTGGAGCCACTTCTAACACTGGTTCTAACTATGTAGTAAGGCACCTTTGACAAGTCACAGTCTTATCTGTTTTCTTTAATAATTTATAGGAAAGATGAAGCCCATGAATACAAGGCTGTGTCTGGTTCCAATTTTCTTTCTTCTATAAAAAGTCAACACTTCCTGTGAGCACTATCAGACAAAACAAATAAAATATCAGAGACAATTGTTTTATTAACTTGAACAAAGTACAAGCCAAAATTGAACATTTTTTCTGGTTTTGGCAAAAATTAATGAATATTAGTCTTTTCCTCTGGATGTATTTTTAAAGCAAAATATTACTCTTGAGACCAATTTTAAGTTAGCTTTATTTTCATTTAAGTTCCCATGATTTTCCTGTTTTATTAAACTACTGGAAGAGAAATGAATTTAATCAGCAATGGATCTGATTATGGCATCAAAGTCCTTCATTTAATTATGATTGGCATAGCCAAGCATACTCATTTTTAATGAATGTATGTGGAATAGAATCCTTGGATTTATTTCATAA